GAATCACTCCTTCAGTTACATCGCCGACAATCTCACTATATAACAGAGGTGGGAACAAGTCACTGAGTTGCAAGTAACACATAAGTCTCAAGTCTTCATACTCAAGTCCTGAGTCAAGATAGTCGAGTCTCGATTCAAGTCCCAGTTCAGTACAGGTGAGTCTTGAGTCCTGAGTCAATGGCTGTATTATTTATTTATTTATTTATTTATTTATTTAACCCTTCCAACTAAAATACAAAATCCATGGTACACAGATCACCATGACAGACATACTGTATACACAAAGAGTAGTGCACTACATATGAAAATAATTTTAAAAGTACTACTGAACTGAATTTAAAAAAAAAAAAAGATCATTTTAGCTGATTTTTGGGAACATTGGATACACAGAATTAAAATAAAAACTAGCTCAGCCAATTAAAAACAACCACTAGTTTGGACTGAATTTGGACGACAACAGAAACCAAAATAACCAACATGAGCTGAACAAAGTTTGCAGAAAAGACAGCAAAATGATAAATGTATGAAGCTGAAGTTGACTTTTGATCGCCAGCTTCTTGTATGAATTTTCCAGTCCACCTTAAATGGTGCAGCATATATGTTCTGGTGCACCTGACTGCTGCACCATTTAAGGTGGAATGAAAAATTTCCAATATGAAGCTGCCAAATAAAAAGTCAACTTCAGCCTCGTGGTGAATGTTGTGCTTGTTTTACCTGCAATAGCTATTAATGAATAAGCAGTTAATGTTCCAATACAAGCATGTTGAACTGTCCAATGGAGTTGCATTAGCAGCAGTTAGAAAATATTGTCATGTGTCTTGGCGGAAGCACATGCTGGTCATCACCCTCCCTGCTTGGTAGCATCATGTGGGGAGACAAATTAGGCAAAAATCCAATACAAATCTGTAAATGTGGTACATGAGTAAATAAGCTGTACCCTGATTATAGCCACAATTCTCAACTGGGCCAAGACTGTGCTGGTTGAGTTTCAGATCAGTCAGAGTGCATCCAACATTTAAGTGTGTACTCAGTTTCATTGGTCATTGGAGTGATTAGTTAAAATCTGAAAGCCAAGGAAAATTAACCCTCAAGTGCACATTGTTGCCTCAGGGCAACAAGCATTTTTCTCACTTTACAATAACATTATACATATTTAAGGACACTGACTGGGTTAACAATAAAGGGCAGCGTTTGAAGAAGTCAGCAAGAAAGCATATATTTGGTCATACTGTCTCTTAGTGGGCACCTCTTTTTAAAATTCAGTATCATTTTTTAGTTATGCGAATTTGCAGAAATATGTTTGTTGCCTAGAAGCAACATTGTGTGACAGTGGAATGGATTTAGCCAGTCACAAGCCAGGTCTCACCACTTCAGGAACACAGATCTACATCATTTCGTCCCATTGTTGCACAATGTTGCCTCAAGGCAACACACACCAAAAGGACCGCTGCACACATTCTTATTTAAAACATGTTTCTGAATTCAATAATCAGGTCGATTTCATGCAAGAAGATTGAATCTGATTTTTTCAAATTATTATCTTAATGCGTGCAGTAGAGGATTAAGAAGAAGAAAAAGCTAAATAAAGAAAAATGGCCAACATGCATTCACTGTGGAGATGGACTTTCAACTGAATTTTCTATTGAGTGGTGGAAGGAGCACAACTGGTAACACTTCAGTATAGAGGAGCACTGTGATGTATTTGTAATGTCTTGGTTAAGTTTTATCAAGCAAATAGTTTTTAATTACCTACCCACTTATGACTACTTTATTAAGCAATACATTGGGTGAATTAAGCATTTCTAGACCATTATGCCCTAAACTGAAGTTTTATCCCACAATAAGAATACCTATATAGCATAAATAATAAAAAAAATCACATTTCACCCACAACCTCCCCTAAATGTGATATTTTACCACTTTTTTCTTTATTGTGAAGGTGCAAACTGCCTTTATTTCTTACATAATAGATGTTCATATTCATATTGCAGTATGTTTTCTTGCTCACATCTGCCTGACACGTTCACATCTGTGTGTACACAACTCATCTCTGAAACGATCTGCATGCATCCATCTACATTGATAATGTAATCATACTATTTGCATCAGAAGCAACAACAAAGGAACACGCTGTCAGCAGAAACCTTTATCACAGAGATTATTCACTCTGAACAGCTCTCAGCTGTTCATGATTAAGATGAGAAGGTGATGAGCGGCCAGATGGCGTTACTTTTGCATCTACTTCTGCCACTAACGCTGTTGCCACACTGTCAACACTGGATCATAATGCCAAGTAATATGTGCTTGTGCTAGTATTGTGGTGCTCACATCTGGCCTTGGTCTAGTGTCTCGGTCTAGGGGCAGTAAGGACTCTGAACTTTTTCCATGACCAGTCGAGTGGAAGGCCCTGGTTTCCTTTTTTAGTTTTTCCCTGATATTTGGTGAGAGCACAGCTGCATGAAGCGAAGCACAGAAACCGGAACAAGCACCGTATAAAATGTGCTCCAGTGTTAATCAGTGTGGCCGGTCCTTTATACCACACTCAGCAGGCACTGCAACAGTGAGCATGTGCAGATTAGTTTGTGCACTGATTGCCTCGAGGACTGTGTAGAAGATATAATACTGCAAAATTTCACTCGCGAGTGACTGATATAAAAAACAAAGTCACTTTTTTCACTTTCACTGTGGTTTTTGCTATAAAACAAGCACAAGATAATATAATGTCAACCAGTAATAGATCATGTTCAGTGACAGATGTTGTGCAGTAAGCTTACTTACTCAGCTAAGGTTAGGTTTTCATCCTAATGGTTCTAATGTTCTTTATTCAGCAGGGGTTACCGAAGTGCTGCCAGCTTGCAGAACATAACTTTGACAACGTTGAATATTGTTGGGTTTTAAAGATGTACTAAAATGTTAATGTTAATGGTAAACTTACCACCATCTCAATCTGTAATGAAAGCACTCAAAATCTCGACCTTATTAACCTTTCCCATCTTTTTTGTGCCATTACTGTGGCTTTTACTCCAAAGCCTACCTGCCCCTGACGTCAGGTCAGGGGGTTGGGGGTGTCTGCATCACAGAAACACCCTCATATGGTGCTGCTGCAATTAGACCCTCCTCCATTTTTCAGTTACCATCATCAAGAGATCGCGATTTTGATCCCTGGTCATGCTACAGCCATCCGTGGCTGGGATTCCAAGAGGGCACAACTGGCCCTCATCTCCCCCCCATCACTCAGCGCAATGCTAGTCAGCGCAGGCGTCTGTTAGCTGACATAACAGAACCGTCAGTGACGCTTTCCTCCGAGTTGTCCAGTGACGTTGTGTTATCCGCAGTTCTAAAAGATGCGGCAGTGCTTCACAGGCCTTGGAAGAAGCCTGTGGTAGCCTTCGCCCTCCTAGCACTGGTGGTATATTGTGATTGGGGAGTCCTAACTAGTGGGTGGAATTGGATATGACTAAACTGGGGTGAAAACTGGGGGAAAAATCAACGAAAAAAAAAAGAAAGTGCCAGATTTGTGTTGTCATAATCTGCTGGGACTCAAGGCTTTGCTGACGCAAACTGTCTCTAAAACCTACATACACTTAGCATTTATAAAGCTAGAAATAGACAAGCACATACAAACAGCACACCCACACACAAACACAAACACACACTGACTCATTTTTGATTAAGCTCGTCATTTTCTGACCTCACGCCCTTGTCCAATCAAAACTGCACCTCCGTCTCACTGAAATGACCCGTCACGCTGCTCTCTCAGCCGTCATCCAATCAAAAAGCACGGCTGCTCTGACAGCCGTCACCACCTTCGACCTCTGTCTCATCCCTTCGTCCTCTGTCTCATCCTTTACCTCTTTCCTCTCTTCATTTCTGCTCCATCTCAGACTCACACTCACCATCCAGCGGCGGCCGAGTTGACGAGGTGAACGAACATGAAGGAGCTTAACATGTGAGTCAGAATGTAAAGAGAGACGCTGCAGGTGTGGCATTAAACTCGACCAAACTAGGCCAGTGTTCGTGACTAAGAAGAGAAACCTTCCATTTTTAGCTTCTTAGACCAGAAAAATTTATGATCAGTTCAGTTTTAATTTATGATTGATTCATTCATCATAAAGTGTTCATTGAGTGAAAAGGACAGCTGGTGTTTTCAAAAGATGTAAACAAAAAATAAACGAAACAGTGGAGTTTTTTTTATGACAGCCAAAATATTCTTCCTCTCCTCATTTCTCCTCTCTTCCTTTCTTGTAATTTTCTTTTGCCTGTCTGTCTCTCCTCTTCCCTCTTCTCTTTTCCACTTTCCTCATCTCCTCTCCTGTCCTCTCCTACCTTCTTTTTTCTTCTCCTTTCTCCACCTTTCCTACTTTTTCTTCTCTTTTCCTCGCCTCTGCTCCTTTCTCACCTTCTCTCCTCTTCTCCTCTCTATTCTCCTTCTTTCTCCCCTTTGCCTTTCACCTTTCTTTTCTCCTAATCCTCTCTCCACTCTTCTCTTCTGCTCTATTCTCCCTCTTCTCTTCATCTTCTTTCTTATATTTCTTTAACATCTCTTCACCTCCTATCTCCTATACACTCATCTCTCTATCTTTCTCTCTTCTCTTCCTTTCTCCACCTCTCCTCCTTTCTCTTCTCTTTTTCTCTCATCTCCTCCTTACTCCACCTCTACTCCTTTATCTTCTCTTTTGCTCTCCTCTCCTCCTTTTTTCTCTTCTCTTCTCTTCTCTTCTCAACCTCTCCTTCTTTCCTTTGTCTTCTCTTTTCTTATCCTTCTTTATCCCCTTCTTCTCTCCTCTCTTTGCCTCCCTATCTGTCTCTCTTTCTCTCTATCATCTCCCCCTTTCTCCATGTCTTCTCTCTATTTTCTCCTGTTCATTCCTCCCCTCTCCTCTCCACTACTGCTTTATCCTCCTTTCTCAACTATTCTCCCCTTCTTCTCTCTCTCTCTCTCTCTCTCTCTCTCTCTCTCTCTCTCTCTCTCTCTCTCTCTCTCTCTCTCTTTCTCTCACCTGTTCCAGTTTCCAGTGGAACTCGGCCGGTCTGAATGAATCTCCCTGTGTGAAATCCCTCCGCAGCAGAAACACCAGCCTGCAGTTGTGCACATACAGAGAGTAATGATGTCTGTTCATCTCTGGAAGAGAGAGAAAGAGAGAGAGAGAGAGAGAGAGAGAGAGAGTGAGAGAGAGAATAGTGTGATATTACAATATCTGTGTAGGCACAAATTTAATTAGTTAGGACTCTCACAGTATTAAACAGTGTAATAATAGCAGTGTTGACTGATTTAAAAAGCAGTGCATTCTGTTATATGAGAGGACAAAATAAGCTTCATCAGAATACAGTTATTACATTCACTAATTCAGAAATATTTTCATACATATATAGCATACGGTGCTGTGAAAAAGTATTTGCCCCTTCTCAATTTCTGCTATTTTTTGCATATTTTTCAACTTGACTGACTCATGTCATCAAACTACTTTTAATATTAGACAAAGATAACCCAAGTAAACACAAAATGCTGCTTTACATTCAGATTTCATTTATTGAAGGCAAAATGCTTCAGTCGACTATTGGGTTCAGTTTCACTAGCCACACTCCACAAATGGAGAAAACTTGGAACAGTGGTGAACCTTCCCAGGAGTGGACAGCTTATCAAAATTTCATAAAGAGCGCATCAATTACTCATCCAGGAGATCAGAAAAGAACCCAGATGAAAATCTGAAGAACTGCAGGCCTCACCTGCCTCAGTTAAGGTCATTGTAGATGATTCCACAATAAGAAAGACACTGGGCAAAAATGGTACCCATGGGAAGGTTGCAAGGTGCAAACCACTGCTGACCAGAAAGAGCACAAAGGCTCGTCTCGCATACAAACATGGTGGTGGTAGTGTGATGGTCTGCTCGTAACCTGAAGCTCAAGCACAGTTGAGCTCTGCAGCAGGACAATGATCCAAAGCACACAAGCAAGTCCACCTCTGAACGGCTCGAACAAACAAAATTAAGGTTTTGGAGTGGCCCAGTCAAAGTCCTGAAAGGAATCCCACTGAGATGCTGGCTGGACCTTAAATGTGCAGTTCATGCTTGAAAACCCTCTAGTGTAGCCAAATTAAAACAAAGATGAGTTGGCAAAAATTCCTTCACAGTGATGTAAAAAACTCATTGCAAGTTATTGCAAAAGTCTGTAGTTGTTACTGCCAAGGGTGGCACAACCAGTTATTAGGGATGGGGGGGAATTACTTTTTCACATTTCACATGATATAGGTTAATAAAAATGTTTATGTTCAATAAATGAAATGATGATTTAAAAGCTACAATTTGTGTTTACTCATGCTGTCTTTATCTTACATTAAAATTAGTTGGATGATTCGAAACATTCAATTGTGATAATTTAGAAAAATAGAAGAAATTGGGTGAGGGCAAATACTTTTTCACAGCACTGTACATCATGTGTACAGTCAGTGGTTCAACTCTTCCGTGACTGTAGCCACTTGCTCTCCTTCATACAGCTCATGGATTCTTGTTTCAGTTGAGGCTCTCGAGGGGAACTGGAGCTCCACTGTTGCTTTTGTCAGTTTGCTGCTCATTGATTCATCCACAGTTCTCCTGTCCAGCTTAGTCTGCTGAAGGTGCTAAAGGTTTCACTTTTAAAATCAGTTTTAAAGCTGTATTTGAACAAAACGGCTACAGTTGTGGGTTCAGTCATATAAACATACAGTGTGCTGCAGCTGGGCTTCAGCCTGCAATACTACAGATGGGTCAATGAACAAAAGGTGAATTAAAATTATAATTTTGTATAATTTTACTAGCACTTGTTCTTATCTAAATTTGTTGATTTGGCAATATTGTACGTAAAACATTACACTGAAACAGAAACTGAGAAGGAAGGAAGCAGGGGAGGAAAGGAAAGAAGGAAGGAAGGAAAAGAAGGAAGGAAGGAAGAAGCTGCAGCAGGAAATTGTTAAATTATAAAACCATAAGTCATCGACAATGAGAGAAAGAGTTGGAGGAACTTTTTAAAGAGGTCATATCATGAAAATTTCCTCTGTAGCTTTGATGTCGTATGTAATCATTGTTAAAATTTCAGAACAAAACATTCACTCTGCAGTCCATTCTGTCCATTTATTAAACTAACCTGCAAAAACAGCCCGTTTTCAAATAATCGTGGTTGTGGTTTCACAACCACCAACACAATTACATATAAACACTTAGTCAGACCCCAGCAGTTTAGCTCCGCCCATTTACGTTGAAGTGATACGGAGTGCCGTTCCTGCAGACTGTGGTCTGTTGCAGAATTATTGTAGTGGAAGATGGGAAAATTATTCAATATTGTACTGTTACTGGCTGTCGGGCAGCAAAGGAATGACTGCAGTCTTCTATGAGATCCACACTTTAAAATCATTTTCTTTATATTATACACTTTTGATGTAATATGAAAACATTTTAAACGCATCGAAACGTAATTCTCACCCCCCCGTCCATACAGTCCATTTTTGGAAAATAACTTGCAAAAAAAACATTTTCAATTCATCATGGTTGTGATGTCACAACCACAAATCCATATACTTACGACTGCTCATTAGGCCTACAGCAGTTTAGCTCTGCCCATTCATGCTGAAGTGATACAGAGTGTTGTTCCTGCAGACTGTAAACTATAGCAGAGCTGTTAGGGTGGAAGTTGGGATTTTGGGAAAATAATTAAACGTTGTGCTGTTCCTGGCTGTCAGGAAGCAAAGATATCACTACCGCCTTCCAAACAATCCACACATCAGGAAGGAGCAGCTGAAGTTAATTTCCTCGGACCTCCCTGAAGATTTCAGTCTGAACTGAACAGTTTATTTTGTGCATTTCAGTTTGGACTGCTTTTTGAATGAGGCAGCCAATCAGAGGCAAGCTCATTTGCATATATCATTCTGAAAGGCACAGTAACAATCACAGCCTAATTAGTTGTAATGGGTAAAGATAGATGGTCATAAATGGTCATAAAGAAATGTGTAATGACAAACATTATAAACGGGCTTCAAAAAAAAAGATTGTTTTTAAGGTTTTCAGTGTCTCTCTCTCTGTCTCTCTCTCTCTCTCTCTCTCTCTATCTCTCTCTCTCACCTGTTTTATCTGAGTTGCAAAGGAGTGTCTCTTTCTCCCCCCTCAGGCCGGGGCTGGGTCCGTGCTTCATCCAGGTTGCTATGGTGAACTGGTCCGTAAGGTTCTGCGGTGTGATCCAGTCCGGAATATTGGCCGCCTGCCGTCCATCAAAACGGTAAATGAGGTCACTGTCCCGCCCGCCGTCAGTCAGCAGAGACGCCGTCCAGTTAAAGGCAGCGCTCGGGGCGGGGAGGAGGTCAGTGCTGCCCGAAGAGGCTCCTGGAGATGGATGTTGCCATGGTAACCGGAGGGCAGAGATGAAAATTAAAAAGGTTCAGAACTCAGAACTGGAGAAAAGAGTCAATAAAGTTTGTTTACAGTTTATAAGGCAACAGCACACATAACTCAAGTCCACATAAAGTGGATCTCTCCTTCTTTCTCTCTCATTTCTCTCTCTCTCTCTCTCCCTCATCTCTCTTTCTCTCTCTTTCAGATCATATTCCTGGAAGTCTTTATTCATGCTGCTTGGTGACGCTTACTGCTGTGAAAACAGCAGAAGTGCTTTTACCGTGTGACTCTGAACACCATGAGAAACACTGTCAGCATCATACTGACAAACTGGAGCTCTTTATAGCTGCCACTAAACCTCCTGCCAGCATCTGTGCAGACGAACGTATCCCTATACCCTCTTATCTGAAACTGGGTTTAGAACTGAGCCTGTAAGTGTGGATGAGAAAAGGCCTGATTCACCACTTTAGTTAACACTAAAGACCACCACAAACTGGACCCTCTGCATCACACAGCATCTGAAAATTCAATCGTTCAACTGTTGTTTTTAATGAAGCATGCAGTACATCACTGTTCCGCAACTTCCAGCACTGCTCTGTTTCTCTAAGGACCACAGAGAAAACATTCCGAATAGAGGGAGCACAAACTAAAACAGTGGGAATGGGGTAGAACATGTTATAATAAAGTGAATGGACTAGAGCATTCTAGAATAGTGTGAACAGGGTGAACAGTTCACACAAACAGTGTGAATGAGGAAAATATTCTAGAACAGTGAGAAACATCCTGGAACAGTGCAAAGAGGGAAAAACATTCTAGGACATTAACGGTGAGTGAACATTCTAGAACAGTGTGAATGGGAGTGAACATTCTAGAACATGGTGAATGGGAAGAACATTCTAGAACAGTGTGAATAGGAGTGAACATTCTAGAACAGTGTGAATGGGTGTGAACATTCTAGAACAGTGAGAAACATCCTGGAACAGTGCAAAGAGGGAAAAACATTCTAGGACATTAACGGTGAGTGAACATTCTAGAACAGTGTGAATGGGAGTGAACATTCTAGAACATGGTGAATGGGAAGAACATTCTAGAACAGTGTGAATGGGAGTGAACATTCTAGAACAGTGCGAATGGGAGTGAACATTCTAGAACAGTGTGAATGGGAAGAACGTTATAGAACACCGTGAATGGCTGTGGACAACTAAGAGTAGTGTGAATGAGGAGAACATTCTAGAGCACAGTGAATGAGAAGCACATTCTAGAACAATATCAATGGGGATGAACATTCTTGAACAGTGCAAAGAGGGAAGAACGATCTAGAACAGTGTAAAGAGGATAGAACACTAGAGCAGTATAAAGGTGAGTGAGCATTCTAGAACAGTGTGAACAGGGAAGAACATTCTAGAACAATATAAATTGGACAGAACATTCTAGAACAACATAAATGAGGCAGGACATTCTAGAACAATATAAATGGGGAAGAACATTCTGGAACAGTGTAAAGGTGAGTGAGCATTCTAGAACAGTCTAAAAGGAAGAACATTCTAGAACAGTGTGAAGGCGAGTGAACATTCTACGACAGTGTAAATGGTGAACATTCTAGAACAGTATAAATGAGGTACTCTATTCTAGAACAGTGTAATTAAGGAAGAATATTCTAAAACATGCTGTTGAACATTGCAGTCCAGTATAAATGTGAACTGGGTGAGTTTGAGACTGAATCTTCTCTACACTACTGTCCGTTTCCTGTGTTTCCTGTTTGGGCCGTTGTCACTTGTCAAAAACACATCAGCTATTTGCCGTTTCATTTCAGAAGCAGCGAGTAGTGAGTGACCTCTATCTTGGAAAGCATGTAGCAGCCTGAAATGTTTTTGTCAACCCGCATCAGTGACAAACAATCAACAACTGGTGTAGATAGTTGGTCCAAAATTGCTAAAGCATCTGAGCATGAATGGAAGCCAGCAGAGCAGGAAAGATCTCCTTTCACTGCAAGCTCTGTTAACCCTTAAGGCTACCAGACGCACTTTGCCACGTTGCATCACACAGCATCCAAACATTCAGAATCACTGGGCCTCGTTTACCAATCATTCTTCAGAAGAAATTTCGGTAACACTTTCTATGAATGTCACCTTTGTAAGCATCTATAAACACATTCATAACATGCATTCATAAGTCATTATAAACATAACTATAAATATTTATAAAAATGCATTATACATTATAGCCATGTTTATTATGCATTATGAATTGTTAACATAATACATTATAAGTACTGATCATAACAAATTATAATAGCTCATAAGTCGTATTTGTCCGCTCTAAGTAAAGTGAAGCGTACTGTACTAAAGCCTCCTCTAGTGTTAAGAGTGAGGCTTCAAGTTGAAGTATTTACTGAAGGATTACTGAAACACTAAAACATACACAATAAAGCACATTACAGGCTTCAAATGTCAGAGTTTAAACTAGTGCTGCCATCAGTGTTTTACCCAATGTGGGAAAGTCAATCTACACCACCGTTAGCTTGGTATTTGTCTTTACTTTACACTCTCCAAACTGGGACTGACTTCTTTGGCCCTGACATTATAACATGTTATTAACACTATTTATAATGCATTATATTAACAATTCATAATGTATAATAAACATGGCTATAAAGTGTAAAGTAATTCAGCGTAATTCTTTTTTATAAATATTTATAACCATGTTTATAATGCCTTATGAATACATTATAACATGTTATAAATGTTTTTATAGATGCTTACAAATGCAACATTCATAGAAAGTGTTACCGAAATTTCTTCTTAAAACCCACTTACGCCATTTTCACCAGTGTTTTCGGTAACACTTTCTATGAATGTCACCTTTGTAAGCATCTATAAACACATTTATAACATGTTATAATGCCTTCATACAGCATTATAAACATGATTATAAACATTTATAAAAATGAATTACACTTTATAGCCATGTTTATTATACACTATGAATTGTTAATATAATGCATTATAAGTAGTGTTGATGACATGTTATACTGTCACTGCCGAAGAAGTCAAAGTAAAGACAAATACCAAGCTAACGGTGGTGTAGATTACCTTTCCCACATTGGGTAAAACACTGATGGCAGCTCTAGTTTAAACTCTGACATTTGAAGCCTGTAATGTGCTTTATGTGATGTTTTAGTGTTTCAGTAAATCCTTCAGTAAATACTTCAACTTGAAGCCTCACTCTGAACACTGGAGGAGGCTTTAGTACAGTACGCTTCACTTTACTTAGAGCGGACAAATACGACTTATGAGCTCTTATAATTTGTTATGAACAGTACTTAAAATGTATTATGTTAACAATTCATAATGCATAATAAGCATGGCTATAACGTGTAATGCATTTTATAAATATTTATAGCCATGTTTATAATGTCTTATGAATGCATTATAACATGTTATGAATGTGTTTATAGATGCTTACAAAGGTGACAATCATAGAAAGTGTTACCGTGTTTTCTTATTTGGGGTTTGTTCTTAGGGAAGAACAGAATCTACACACACTCAAGAGCACAAAGGTGAGAACAATTCAAATTATTAATTAAGTCTAATAGCAAAACATTTCACCACAGAGCTTCTGTAGAGACTTCTCTGAGTACGTCTCTCGATCGCAGCCCTTCCCAATGTGGCTGGTCTGCAGCTCCACGGTGGTCCGCACTGACGACACCGCCCCCTCACACGTCTCCAGGTGCATCTTGGGAAACAGCTGCTTACTGCCGATACCCGGTTCATAGTCCACACGCTTAGTCCAGCCTAGAGACAGAGAAAGAGACAGAGAGAAAGAGAGAGACAGAGAGATGAAAAAGGCCATGGCTTCAAGCAGAGAGGCTACTAATGATTCATTTAACAGATGATTAATCCAGTGACTATTATTCGACTAATTGAGCCGTTATGTCTTCTGCAGTTTCCTCTCACTTTGCTCTTCCACAGCACCGTCATCATTCAAAGCTAGTCAGTTCATTTTTATGATGGAATAGAAGCCATATCGCCCCCTTCACTTCCTACAGCGTACTGCAATGTGTCAGAATGACCGCACGAATCATGCAAGCATTACTGAGCATTATAAAACAGACAGTTCATCTTCTATAATCTGTTGACCGTTATGCTGTTTGCATGAACCACCAAATGTACTGATAGATGGAACGAGTTGGCAGAGCATACGGACGATTCTACTGAACTAGTGTAAATTGAGGTCCCACAGTTAAACTATTTAAAAAGCAATGATGTTTTCAGACCTTAGATATTTAGAAGGATTATGTTTGATCTGTTTAAACCCAGCACATTAATAGTGATAGTAAAAAGGTAAATATATACAAAAATCATTATTTATAGGGTATTTTGTAATGGGATGTGCCTGTCCCAACCCCTAACCCATAAATTTCAACCTTTGACAATAATATTTGACAAACAAACAAACAAAGAAAGAAAGAAAGAAAGAAAGACCAAATAAATATATACATTATTTATTTATTTATTTATTTCGCTGTTTATTCATTCATTTATTTTAGATATTTTTCTTTTTATATTTTTAGTGAAATTGAAAGATTTAGATTTACCATGTTTATTTTTTAAAATAAAATCCTTTATTATAACACAAAGTTTCAGTCCATAATCGGAGGCTTATTGTAGCCACGCCCCTGCACTTTAGAGCAGGAAGTGAGACTGCGTCCCGGTCCCTCATGACCACATGGTGAGCAGTTAGATCCCTCGGTTTTGAAGTAAATATATCCCAAAGTCTGAAAATCAATATGGAACATTAGGAATTGTCACTACAGAAACACACATTTTGCATTTTAATAAAAATATAATGATTTTATGTGTGCACAGCTGTTCAAAGCTGTGTTTGCTAGTCATGTACTGGATAGCGGTTCTACTCAAAATGAGCTAAAATTGTAACCACCGAAACAGTCACTACTGAAACATGGTAAAGTTTCAGTAGTGTTATGGTTGTTTTGGTAGTGACAAAATGGAATGTTCAGTCATCCATCCATCCATCATCTAAACCGCTTATCCTTCTGGGTCGCAGTGGGGTGCTGGAGCCTATCCCAGCTGTCATTGGGCGGAAGGCAGGATACACCCTGGACAGGTCGCCAGTCCATCGCAGGGCCTTTCAATTTCATCGCATGTTCAGTCATTTGTTTTAATAAAATAAACATAATTAAGATTTAGGGTCAATCAAAGCAAAAGGATTTTAGTCTAAAGTCCAAGTCAGTTAAAAATTTTAAATATGTTTCAAACTCTGACTTTGCAACAGTTCAGTAAAATGATCCGCATGTGAAGTAAACATAAGAGGGATGGATGAGAGGGACATAGTCAGGAAAACAAATTAACCAAAGGCTCGACTAAACAGGTAAGTTTTTAGCCTAGACTTAAAGATGGAGGCTGTGTCTGAGTCCCGAACACTGACTGGTAGGTTATTCCAAAGCTGGGGGGCTTTGTATGAAAAGGCTCCTCCCCCTGACGTAACTTTATTTATTCTGGGTACTAATAATGAGCAGCACCTTGTGATCTAAGTGGGCGTGTCGGTTGATAATAGGAAACAAGGTCACTGAGGTACTGAGGATCAAGGCCATTCAAAGCTTTATATGTCAGCAGAAGAATTTTGTACTCAATGTGGAATTTAACTGGCAACTAATGTAAGGTACACAAAACTGGGCTAATGTGGTCGAATTTCCTGGTTTTGCTGAGAACTCTGGCTGCAGCGTTCTGGACTAACTGAAGCTTGTTAAGGTTTTGGCTGGAACAACCAGAAAGCAGAGCGTTACAGTAATCTAACCTGGACGTGATGAAGGCGTGAACTAACGTTTCTGCATCCTGTAGCGACAGTGCATTTCTTAATTTAGCGATGTTACGCAGGTAGAGGAAAGCTATTCTGGTAATACTGGTAATGCTAACAGGCTAAAAGAAACAGCTGTATGCAAAAGTTTGAGCACCCCTGGCTTTTTGAAGTGAAAAGAGATAAACACAACCTCTGCAGCAAACTGTTCAACAGAAACTTTGGGGTAATGTCACTTCAAATCTGATTAACTGAAAAATAAAGGGCTGTCAAAACTGCTCTACTGAGAGCTAATTATAGGTTTGAATCCCTTCATTCTATACGCCACGCATGGTGAGCGAGACTCATCTTGTCAAGTTATCCTCAGAAAAACAGAGGTTGATTGAAAAGCTGGTATATTCACAATTTCTTTTACCGACTTTGTGGAAATTCAGGACATTCTGAGCTCGTAAACAGCGGCTGGGCAGTGTGATTCACTGCAGTAAAGGATGTGACGAATTTTCATCTGTCACTCTGACACAGAGAGAGTAACACACATGACCCGTGATGATTTATACTGAATAATCACTCGGCAGAACGACTCATTAACTCGCTCAGTGAGAAAACATCATTCCTGTTACTGTGGATGGAGTCAGACTCACTGTGCTGCGCTTCTACAACCTGAACACACATTTAACTGACACATAGTGCAAATGTACGAAATAAACAAATATACAGCACTATATAATATCAGGATAAATACAAATAATCCTAAATGCAGTAAAAATAATAAGAACATGGTCAGAAGAAAGCAGGTTTGGTTCTTGACTTCTTGCTGTTCTCCAGCCATTTCATAGATTTATTCAATGACATCAGCAGCACCTGATTTAATTTAATGAAGGGTTGATTAGATAAACTAAGTAATGGAGTATTGCACCGTTACTGTATACCTTTTTCACAGTGTGAACCTACTTGGGTATAAAAAATATACCACCACCCCCTTTTTGCAAACCCACCCCACCTCCAGCCCCCTTCCAGCCCCCCTCCAGCCCCCCTCCAGCCCCCTTCCAGCCCCCCTCCAGCCCCCCTCCAGCAATTGAATGCTAACACATTTACACACATCAAATCACAATCGACTGTAACTGTTTTACTTCAGGTCTATTTATTCTAATTTAAGTGTATTTTTAACAAATAAACAGTTAAATAGCTTTGCATATACTTTTTATCGGATGCCTTAGACTTCTGTCCAGTGTATTCACTGTCTGACCAAAAACTCAAAATGGTAATTATATAGGAAAAGGAAAAAACTTGTAATGTAAGTTCATTTTTAAGAGACTCTATTCAAAGCAATGCAAGGTCGTTCCAATCCATTCATCATGAAATTCTCACACAAGGGGCAGCTGGTGTTTTTTTTTAATTATATCAATAAATAAAAACTGATGAAAATAGAAATATAAGATTTTGTCCTGATAGTTATGATATATACATCTGCTTTTCATTTGAATGTGCATGTATATAATGAGACTTTCTTCTGAATCATATTGTACCATTCCTATTGGTCAATTCATCATCATGATATAAATATTCACAATGAAAAAAGCAGCCGGTATTGAAACAGTTTCATAAAAATCTGAAAACATGAGGAGTTATGAGGGTTTCTTAAGACAGTAAGAGAAACTCATCATTTTGCATTTTTCAGATGAAAAAGATTTTGTTTCTAAAGCGTCACTCAGTGTTTTCAGACACAGGTTTGCACCCCTGCTGTGAGAGAGCCGTCAACAGCACTTACTCATGTTCACATCTGTGACAGAGCCTTCAGCTATTGCAGGCACTGTGAGGAATTTAGAATGGCTATTAACTGATTTGGATTAAGGATTTAACGTTACCATCAGTGCGGCTGGAAGCTGAAATCTGAAGTCTATCACAGACTGATCATAACAGGAGGTCTGTGCATTGCAGGAGGCATTAATGGGAAACCAGAGACTAAATTATATACAGTATATGCTAATACTAATATACTAATATACAAGGCTGGGCAAAATACTTTGAAAAAGTAGTGATGGCTAAATCCTGAATGCAACATATTCCATTACAATACAAACAAGTAAAGTCATTCAGAACACATTTCGAATACATTTACAATAAATCTCGGTAAGGCACATGAGAAAAACTTTTTGAAATGTAATTCACACTGTTCCTCACTGTTATTGGTTGGCAGTTTTTTTTTTTTTTCATGCAATTATTCTGTTAATGCATTTTGTGAAAAATTCGCTTATCATTTAAATGAAGTTCAGAAAGTTCTCCTGCTTCAGTTCACTGCTACCACAATCCCTCGAACAGGAGTCCAGTACAACACTGATGCTTATCACTTGCAAACATGTCCACTACTGAGGAGATAGTTAATTCAACCATCCCTCAAAAGAATTCAGTAACGCTGAGATTAATAACTAGTTCATCACCCTGATTTATCCGTCTACTCAGGCTTCAGGAGGAATGTCAGTGTTCATTAAGAAGCTGTTAATTGATCTCCTCTATAGAGTTTGTCTAACAAGCATGTTTGCTACACACTGAGCAGTGATTTTAAGCTAATAAACACATATTGATGGTGTTTCTTTTAAAGGTGGTATATATTTTTACATTTAGTGAGTAAGTATTCTAAAAGTTTTCTTCTAAAACTATAAAAAGTAACTGTAATCTGAATACTACCTTTACAAAATGTAACTTGGACTGAAAATAGATACTTAATACCTGTATTCTGGATATGTATTCCCAATAATTGTATTCGGCCACATCCCAACCCGGCTATAAATATAAATAGCTTTCATTGTTTAACTGTTTACTGTTTTTAACACTTTAGAGTAACACTGATGCTATCAAAACTAGGAAATAACACATATGGAATTACGCAGAGCCTTTTAGCTCAGTTTAAAACTCAGCCGTACTGCACTTCTCTTCAGTAACGGCACCTTATTATCCCAATTTAATTTTTAATCACATT